ATGAATTAGTTCGAACTACATAGAACTAGTTCGAAAAGAACTTATTTGTATTGAAAAAAAAAGACCAACAATGAAAGTATAATAAGTTTTATTACTTACTCTTCGTATAAAGTACTTTGAACCCATATTTCAATAGAAAATAACTTGTGTTTTTTCATGAGAAAAGAAAGAAGAGAATTCCATCCGAAATTCTGATTTTTGTATGATTTTATTATTTAGAATTTCATGACCCTTTTTGAATTTTGTTACAAGACATGTTTGTATATATTAACTGAAAGAATATCCATGACAGAGCTACTATCTCATTGTATAGCATCACATTTAATTAGCATCGATACAAAACGTTAATTATTACCTTTTCCTTTCCACTTCAATAAAATAATGTAATTCAATCCCCAATCACATTTGATAGATAAGAGTAAAATAAATAGAAAAAACAAAATACACTATCCGTTGTTTTAAAATTGATTGTACTCGCTTTTGTTCGTGAATAGAAACTAGATCAAAATATGCAATATAACAAAGTTGATACATCGCTGTCCGATGCAATAATGTTAATCGATCAAGATAACAATCAATTATCATCGCCATCATCACTACAGCAGAATAAAGTTCTGCAAAAGAAGCTTATTTGACCGTATCGTGTTACTTTAGCAATATTATTAGTTTTGTTGTTGATATGTCTAAGTATTCTACTCGCCACATTTTTACGCAAGAATCAATATCATCACATTATTAATCCACCAGTGTCGTTACAATTATCTGCATGTATTGATATGAATGGCACTTCTATTAATAACAGTGAGTGACACAATCTCATTACTAATATAAGAGCTAGCTAAAAACGCCTGAACACAGATTGTAAAGGAAGATCTTTGCTGTGAATACATTTTCTTCACAGATCAAGATTCATTTTAGGATCATTTTGCTTTACCAATACTGCTGGATCTCTTTCATGAAGGATTTTCTCTAAAAGTCTATCTCTAAAATTAGCATGCATTTCCAGTTGAATGATCTGTCATATAAGATTCTCAATGTGTGCTTTGTGTGTGTTCATTTTTTTAAGTAAATAAACGGACATATTGGTATCAGATCTATCGAACAAAATTAAAATTCATCAAAAATCTTGCGTGATATTGCACTCTGTATTAAGCGGTTGTACGAGAGACGAGCACGGATGGCATTTGACGGTGTATCCAGATCCTATCTATAACTTCAAAGCACTAGTTGTTGAAATTCTCTGAAGTAAAGAATGCATTTTCGGTCAATGAAAGAAAACTATCAATGGAGAAAAAAAAATCAAAAAGTTAAATGATTCTAAGTCACCATTTTAAAACTATACTGGAAACAGTTCATTTTATCTCAGCGATGATGCTCACGTTTTTCTACGTGCTGTCAGAAAATAGTATCAAAATTGAAATGTTTTTGCATCTAAAACATGTTATTATTTACCTTAGACAACAAGGTGAATTAGCTTCATCTTAACAAAGAACAGCTGATTGCAGCTCTATGGCAATTCGTATGTATGGTCGATCCGAACTGTCAAAGTAGTAACAAGGGAACAACATTTTCGGCTCAAGAAAACAGTGAAGCCTTCTAACTCTATCCAATAATGTGACTTTTCAAAAAGAAAAACCCTAGATTCAACGGTCAAGAACTACATAGAAGAACAAATGAAAGAACCCGTTATCGAAGAGTAGGACGCAGACATCAATACGGCCACCAGCACGCTTCAGGTGGAAGGCACGACGCTACCAAGTACAGGTAAATATAATATTCTAGGAAAGAGGCTCACCAATCCCACCAAATGTCACACAGTTTGTAATGACTGGAATACGTTAAAAATTATTCTAAATTAAGCTTTGACACGTCTCTTTTTGAACTTCAGTCATTATTGAATGAAACATAAGCAACCAAATGTTAGACATATTCAACACGGTGAATTGATTTTCAATGTTCCACTGAAGATCGACTGAGTTGCCGTTCGTGTCTCGGTTTGTATATACGTAACGAAAATCGTGAAAAATATCTGTTCCCTTCCGAATATCCTATGCCATGAACTTTATCTTAAAGAGATTCCTGTTAGTCGAGTTTCATGTCATAAATGATCTTATATTGATGCATGTCTGGACAGTTTCTTTGCTGATATTTCACTCTGCAAATTTTTCTAAATCGAATGTTGGGAAAAATTGAGTATAGTAACTGTCCTTTTGATTTGTATGTGCTAAGTCATCTGTCTTTTTTCTAGTAAATCGGATAACGCTCGAGAACAATACAGTTATCTCTCTCGAGTCACTTGGTCATGTCAAAGGTCTACATTGGCTTAGCGGTTCTACAAGCGGCATCAATCTTGTGGCTACAAAATCTTCAGCGTCCACATTTTGGCTTGTCTATTTCCACAGTAATGAGCCGCTTATCGTCAGTTTTCGCTGTCTCGACTGCATCGATCCTAAGCAGCAATGGTTAACACGCACAAACTATACCAAAATCAAACTCGGAGAGAGCAAAATGGATGAGGGAGCACGGTGGAACATGAAGTGGAATGCGAATCAATTATCATGTTTACTTTCGAATGGGGATGATGATGAAGAAATGTATTTAGATGGATATACAGCACCTGGAGAAGTTGGGTTTGCACGCGCTCCGCATGAAAAACCGCATCATTATACAGGCGCGTATTGACGAGTCGTTGTTCGATAACTAAAGACTCTTTTCTCTTTGTATTGTTCAGAAAAATTAAATACGATTTTTCGAGCTTTGAACATGTTTGACACTTTAAATAACATCCATAGTAGAAATTCTATAGATTCATCTCATAAAGAAGTTTTTTTTTTTGAACAACTTTTATTAGGATTATTTTACATCTACCTAAGAACAGCATTCATCGATATGCGTTATACGATCACACTACGAATATCGAAAATATTATCTACTAGATTATGTATATAGATGGGTGTGGATGTGGATGTGGGTGGGCGTGGATGTGGGGGTGTGGGGTGATCTTTCATAAAGCCCACAGCCACAACCACACCCACACCCCACACCCAGCAAGATAGAGATATACAAAAACTGAATTTCACTTTTTCCCCAATCCCCTATTGCTTTTCAAAAAGTATGCATTTCCTCCCTTCTCCTCTCCTCAGTCTTTACTTTTTTCATCGTTGAAAAGGTTGTTTTGTTCATAGAAGAGCGATGATTTTTCGCATGTTTTTGCTTTTTCGAGATGTTCTTACAAGAAGGTCGCAGATTTATATTTGTATTTATTTTTACAAAATCATTCATTCATTCATTCATTCATCATCTACATTCAAAAACACATTACTATTTCTTTATCTTTGACTTCATATATTCTTCTGTTATCTTCAATCTATCCTCGATTCTTCGAACAATATCTTTGATCCTAACTACTTCGGGATGTTGACTTGGTAAAGATGCTTCGAAGATTGTTGAGGCCTTCTGTAATAATGTCAATGCTTCTTCCAATTCATCCTTGTCTTCATACACAAGACCCATGTTCTCGTAGGTACTTGCAATCATTGGATGTTGAGCAGGAAGTGATCTCACTTTGATGTTAAGTGATTGATTATAATACTCCAATGCATGATCATAATGACCGAGACAATAATGAACATTTCCAATATTGTTGTACGACCCACCAATGTCAGGATGATCCGTTGGCAGATGTTTCGTCCTAATAGCAAGTGACTTCTCATAGAAGTGGAGCGCTTCCACATACTTATGCTGTTCTTGACAGATGATGCCAATGTTGTTGTAAAACATGGCTATATCTGGATGATTGTCATCGTGTGCTTGTTTGAAGAGTAACACGGCTCGATCGTATGATTCAAGTGCTCGACGATGATCACCCCTTTTTCGATGAGCCTCACCGATACTGTTGTGTATGATACCAATCACCACATGATCGGATGGGCAAGTTCTCACAAGAATCTCGAATGATTTCTGGTACCATTCGAGACTCGTGTCATACTTACCTTTATCGTCAGCAACCATACCAAGATGTTGATACAATGCACCAAGTGAGAGATCATCCGATGGAAGTTCGTTCAGCAATCGACGATAGTACTTTTCAGCCAGATCGAATTGTCCCATTCTATGCATCACATCGCCAAGAGAGAGAAGATTCGTTTCCTCTTTGTGGTATTCGTTCTTCATGTGATCATAGAGTTGTTTGAGATCGCTGTCATAATCATTGCATAATGTCATTTTAATGATTGACATTGTCGCATCAGCTGATGATTGATAATGAAAGACTTGGTTCAAGCAAAAGATTGAATTGAGCATGAAGAGAACTTCGGATTCATTTTTATAATAACTCAGTTCAGCGATTTTTGCAAATGGTCGTCGATTATCCTTGTTCGTGTTGTCCAAGATGCGAGGATCAGCTTCAATTTCGAATAGTACTGAAACTAAATCATCGGATGCTGACGAATTTATACTCTCATTGAGGGATTTTAATGCTACATCGCGTTTCAATGTTGTCAATAAAAATGAATTCATAATAATGATACTTCCCACCGAATTGCATAATTGATTCAATTCTTGTTTTGAAATCTTCTGACCACAATATACTGTTATACATTTCTGACATTGATGAGCACGTAATTGCTCGAAAATATCATGAATAACAGTACGAAAAAGAAACAAGACGTCCACGTTTTGTATACGTAACGCCTTGCTTATAAGACGATAAACAAATGACTCACGTGTGTACCACCATATAGCATTCGTCGATTGATATTCACGATTAAATTCCATTACCAGCTTTAGTTCATCATCATTGTCTTTGTATTCATTTTTGCATAATTCGATTAGATCCCGTTTGTCTTGTTCATTCGGCTTCATTCTAAGCAGTACATCGATTAGCAATTGCGAATACAGGAAATCCCCGTTTAACTTCGTTGAAGATCGATCCAATATATTAATTGCTAGTGGTTCTTCCATTCGAACTCGATGCTTTAGATCTATCTGGATCACATTGATCAGATCATCCAGTTTATTGCAAACAGCTTTAACCTACAATAAATTAACAATGCACGGAATAGTTTTACTTAGAGCATTCCAAAAGTAGTGGCAATGACACTTTAATACTGTATAGTAAGCTTGAAGAAATTTTCTTTTTTTATGTGGTGATAGAGAAAACGATGCTCGATTTTTCTGTGCTATTTGATCACTCTTCAACTAATATCATAATAATAAAATTTCGATAAGAACTATTTTTGTGTAAAAATTCACTAACAGATGAGGCAGATTAATGGCTATGTTTTGCATTTCAATTTTCAATCACTTAAGACGTTGTATTAAAAACAAAATATACCACAAGATACAGCGTGAAAAGCTCTACAATTTATAAAGAACAGTTTATTTCATATATGGAATAAGAAAAAAGGAATTTCTTTTCGTATAGAAAAAGAATGATTTTTTCGGGGCAACGAACATGGTCGCACAGAATTTTGCTTTTTTTTGAAAACAAGAAGTACACAATTAAAATGACCTTTACTTTGGAGATTGTAGAGCTTTTCACGCTGCATCTTGTGATGTATTTCGTTTTTGTTAAATAAAAGATATTAGGTGACAAAAAGTGCAACTATAAAATAAGCGATCTTGTGTAAATTGTAGAGCTTTTCACGCTATATCTTGTGGTATATTTTGTTTTTTAATACAACGTATTAAGTGATTGAAACATTTAATCTGTCTCACCCGCTAGTGAAGTTTTACACAAAAACAGTTCTTATCGAAATTTTATTATTATGATATTAGTTGAAGAGTGATCAAATAGTACAGAAAAATAGAGCATCGTTTTCTCTATCACCACATAAAAAAAGAAAATTTCTTCAAGCTTACTATACAGTATTAAAGTGTCATTGCCGCTACTTTTGGAATGCCCTAAGTATATAAAGACATGTACATACCTTGCTGTATGATCGGCTCCATTGTTCATTTGCCTCTTTGTCAAAACAATATACGTATATCGATGATACCTGAGGTAATTTCTGCATTTTGGGCACAACAAGACGACTCAGTTGACCACTTACAATTAGAATTGCAAGATCACCTTGACAAATGCAACGTACACGTGCCATAAATTCGTCGGGATCAACAAAGGTTTGCAATCGATTAATAATACTTCGTAAACGTTTTTTAGCATCCAAATTCTCTTTATTGTGTACTGAAGCATCTAACCAAAAGATGCTGTAGGTTTCCAAATTGTCGTCTTTATTATTAAAGTGAGTCATGAAAGATGCCATTTTTGCTTGATTTTGTGTATGTATATGTATGTATGTGTGTGTGCTTGAATATTCTTTTCTTGTATTAGCAATTCGAATGATCTTACCTTTCTATTAAACGTGCTTTTATTTACAACAGCCACGTGCGAAAAAGTTTTTTTTCTTTTTGTCGTCTCCCATCGTCTGTTGTTCGCTGTTTCAACAATTCATATTTGAAAAAAAACATTTTATTGTGTTTCGTTTGATGCATTATACTTCAGTCAACAACAACATACATTTCACATGCTTGTTTTTTTTCAACTTCTACAAAAAATAACTCTAGAGTGCCCATCGAAACAATCCTTTCTAGATTGTATCAAAGCTTTTTATTTCCACAATGTTGTTCCCATTTTGAACTACACTGATAATTCACCGATAATGCTATCAAACAATCTCTAATTATTATACAAGTGATGTAAAAATCACAGGCAAATCGAATCTTCTAAGCTGATCTTCATTCAACGATTTCTCCTACCAATAACTTGATTTGCAACGAAGACCAACACCAAATTCTTTAAGGAGTGGTATTATTTTCCGCATGGAACATTCGTGCGGTACACGATAGTTTACTGCAGGTGCGAATAAGTGACAGTGCACGTCACGTAGTTTTCTGAGCTTCGACATATGCACAAAAAAACTCCTTCTTCGCATTTCGCCTACACCCAAACTATATAAATTTAGCTAGCTTTCGTTTCACTCTCGATTCATGACGTGGGACCAACAATATTACTGACGAAAATGTTCTCAAACTCATTCATACCGCAAACCAAGTAACACAGATATCCACCTGTACAGGGTTGCCAAAAATGTTTTGCCCGGGGGGTACAGCTTCAACGACGAATGATATTAACATTGAATTTTATGCCAAATGAAAGCCCGTCAAAAATGTGGTTTATCCATACGAATGAATAAGGACTATAAAGACTTTTCTCTATCAAACTTTGATAATTTCCAGAAATGCATGAACCACAGTCATAGCAAAACTTTCTTTTATCGCAGAGAACTCAAATTACCTCTGATATAAAAATACTGAATCTAGCAAAGTTACCTTTATTTTTTATCGTTCATTAAGCCATAAAAAGTAAGGATAATCTTTCTATGTTTAGTAATTTTATATCAGAAGTAGTTTGAGCTCTGTATGATAAAAGGAAGTTTTGCTATGACTGTGGTTCATGCATTTCTGGAAACTATCAAAGTTTGATAGAGAAAAGTCTTTATAGCCCTTATTCATTCGTATGGATAAACCTCATTTTTGACGGGCTTTCATTTGGCATAAAACTCAATGTTAATATCATTCGTCGTTGAAGCTGTGCCCCCCGGGCAAAACATTTTTGGCAACCCTGTACATCTGGAAAACTAGAATACATTCCCAGCCAGGTTCAGACTTACAAATACACCTGGCAATGCTTCTCTACAGCCTCTCACCCACACCGTGGCACGTTAACTACCTCACAGACAGCGTTCATGACACAACCCTACTGAGAGATACACAGTCAGACGTCACACCTAAACCAACTCCCATATGCATGTCTGCACGACTAACTACAACCAGTAACCGTGTCCACGCTCACGCCCACAGTATTTGCTAGAAAATCGACTTAGAGTGTTGACTACAATACCTCGCAGTTTTGTAGATGTTCAAATGCACACCTGATAATTGAAAATTTACTGTGAACAATCCATGAGAGTACGTTTGTTTTCAAAAAAGTCGTTTGAAGCACTTAAAAAAGTCGATCAGAAAAGCCATGTAATATTCGATTCAATACTTCTTTATCTCCTCTGTCCAATGATAAAAACAAAACTCGATTGAATAAATGAGATAAAATGCTGTCGTTCAAACATTCTCTTGAAAAGTCGATTGTCTACACCACTTCAGCTCGGTATTTCTGACAAATAGCCGATCGTATCAGGCTATAACAGTTTTGCTTTATGCTAATAAAAACCCACACTTTTCTTTTCAAGTAGTTCAATTATATTAAAAATTCAATGATCAACGTTACTATAGGCATGAATATCATTTATTCATTTATGTTCCATACCATGATCTATCCAATGAAATAACAGTCGACGCATGTTGATGTCTTAATATTTGTATGAGTCGACAAACATTGGATAATATTGAACAAAGAACATACATGGAGTTGATCAACATTTGTAGCTCACACTTTAATAAACGAATTTCAAACAATTTTTCCTTCGATGATAAACGATTGAATTGCGATTGAAAATGACCATGTCGTCGAGTATTGTTATAATAAATATTGTATATGCTAACAAAATTCCATACTGGTTTTAAATGATGTAATTCTTCGATCACTAAAGGATCGTCTGAAGAGACAAATATGTGTTGACTTTTATTCTTTAATAAGATGCTTCGTTCAATTATTTCGATATAGTTCTGTAATGATATTGGACGAGCTTCTTTCACTAATTTGTCTCTTTTACGAATATGCAGATCGATATAGTTCGATATATTTGATATTCAATATTTTTGAATAAATAACGATGTTTCTTCTGTCATCATTTTCCATAAATAATGTGTTACGCGGCATTTTATTTCAATGGTTTGCATAGGTTGTGCAGCAAGCCAAAACTTTTTCACTTAGGATTCCGTTCGAGTAGTTTTTAAATGTTCTATTCGGTCATTTTTAAGGCTAATTTCACTAACAATGGAGGTGTTTGTGTTGATAATCAAAAAGATAGGACATATTCGGGTCAAACGAAAGCTCTCACCACCAAACTAACACGGTTAAAATATTAGCTGCCCTTGGCTTGCCTAGAGGGAGATATTTAGAATTTAAGTCTATGTATAAAAATGAATCAGGAAAGGTTTTCTCCACTATTATAAGGACAAAACATAGTGTTGTTCGGAGCGATTATGGGGTTTGTAGGATCCCTCTTTCATATGGCCCGAACAACATCATGTTTTGTCCTTATAACAGTGGAGTGAATTTTTCTAGTGGCTGATAAGAAAAGTTGTTTCCATGAGCTAGAGGAAAAATTCACTCCACTATTATAACGACAGAACATTGTGTTGTTTGGGCCATATGAAAGAGGGACCCTACGAACCCCATAATCGCCCCGAACAACACTATGTTTTGTCCTTATAATAGTGGAGAAAACCTTTCCTGATTCATTTTTATACATGGACTTAAATTCTAAATATCTCCCTCTAGGCAAGCCAAGGGCAGCTAATATTTTAACCGTGTTAGTTTGGCGGTGAGAGCCTTCATTTGATCCGAATATGTCCTATCTTTTTGATTATCAACACAAACACCTCCATTGTAAGAAATGTATAATTTGATAAAGAACAAAATATATATATATTTTTTTTAAGATTAAAATAGTCATTAAAATTTCCATAATTTCATTGTCGACTATCAATCTGAAAGTATCTTTTTTGTGGTTACACTATATGCAAATGCCAGTAATAATTGATTCAGTTTACTTCAAAATCCTACTCTGCTCCAAATAATATAGAGAAATGCACGATTAATAGCTTCACGAGTCTGGCAGATAGAAATGTGATCAAATAAACAAACTTGCCTTTTCAGTGAGAGTGACGAACAAAAAGTCAAATGTGATCTATATTGGTTGAGTATCAGAATAATGATTGTTAATAGGAATATAAATTTAAGTGACTTAATTGTTTTTAATAATACATGTCAATTGTGTCGCGTATTTTTATCCATCAACTTGTTCTATTGTACCAAGATTATTGCTTCAAGCTAAGTAACTATTTTTAATCGATCTGAAAATGACATAAAGCGAATCGTTTTCTTATAGATATTATATATACATCATGAGAATACTCCAGTAACTAAACGTATTAAAGAATCTTTTCAAAAGTTTTTTTTTTCTAATACATACCATACATGGTATTTTAATTAACATGAAGTACTTGTTGTTTCTTCTAAACTACCGAGACTGTATACACTGTCTGATTATTCTTCTGAAATCATACTGTGTTTTATTTATTCATATGAAGCAATATCATGAAATATTATTTTTATTTCATCAGAGCACACAACTTGATTATATTTGTCGAACACTTCATTTGAATTAGACGAAGCCTCTATGACGTTTCTTTCTAATAAAGAATGCTTGCGACATTTATTAGCATATTTTTTTTTGCGATACTTTTTTCGAATATATTTCATTTTCTTCAGTGTCATGATACTTTGCAAAATTCAAACAATATGATTAAAATAAATCAAATTTATTCTTGGTAAAGAAATAATTCATATAAATTGCCATTAAATTTTGAATATCTCAATCAATAGATCAATTCTCGCCATACTATTAGATTATCATGTGATGAAAACCAACAAAAATATTGCCAATTTGCTAGTACGATTATTAACTCCATTTACCGCGACCTTTTCCGGTCAACCATGGTTTATCGCTAAAACTGATTCGGTTTTTATGGGTGTGGGTGTGGGTGTGAGGTGGGATGTGGGTGTGGGTGTGGGTGTGGATCTGAGTGTGAATGTGAGTGTGGGTGTTCTTTTTATCAATGACCCACATTCACATTCACACTCAGATCCAAACCCACACCACCCACCCACACCCCACACACCCACACCCACACCCACACCCCACACCCACACCCACCCTTGATGTTTGAAAACGTTTTCTAATAGAACGATCTAATATTTTATTATTATTTATGATATCCGATGTTCGATCAATCCAAAAATATTTTGTCATATTAATTGCGTTTGAAGAATAAGAAAATGAAAATTCATTGAAATAATTTGTAGTTA